GCCGCTACATTCTTCTGTTCTTTAATTTAAATTAGTTTGAATTTTTAGGCGGTCCGTTCTCTCTAAATAATAAAATATTCTTACCAGCTGAAAAACACTTTCTCTCTCTTTAGGGCTGCCTGCAGTTTCAATTAGCCTTGTGGCTAATCCGAAAGTCACTGGCAAAGGAGGTTTTTCCAGGATCCCCAGAGACTTTGCGAACTTCTCTGGGACCACTGGGTCTCCCCCTACCTTTCACTGTCTCTTCGGGACAGCTTGGGTCCAAGGGACCGTCCAGATGCTTCGGAATAGAAAGTCCGTCTTCTCACTGCTAAGCCCCGCCTTCTTCCCCTCTGTGAAACATTCTTGAGACAGTTTTTACAAGTGTATTAGTGCTCCTAGTTTCTGTATACTTCGAATGCTAGGAGAAAAATTGGCATTTTAAACAAGATATGTGTCCACATTGCATGTATTTCTAGGTTAATGCACTTCTGCTTGTATAGAATGAGATACTCTGTATAATTATTGTTTTACAATATCTACCTTTCTGGATTTTTGAAGGTGTAGCAAGGGTGAAATGCTACCGGTTTGGACCGCTTCACCCGAACTGGTAGTAAAAAAATACTGCAGTTCAGGCGAACCATTATTCTGGTGATCAGCTGGGTGACAATCAACTGTGACGAGCAATTTATATTAGCTAGAATTGACGGATTTCCTGTTTCCAGCTAATATAAATCGTGTGGCACAGCGGATTCCAGCCGCCACCTTGCTGTTCTACTTATCTTTGCAGACTTGGAAGGCTTCAAACTTTTTTAGCGCTCAGTGCACACTCAGTAACAGACTCACCGAAATAATGGCAGACTTCAGAGGATTACTCCGCTGAGGTGTAGAGAAGGTTAATACACACAAGTGCTTATTTAGTTGTTAGTGAATAGAAGTACTTTCTGCTAATGCAAAAGTCCATAATTTTTTCTGAGTCCAAGCATTACTTCAGCATTGAAAGTTTGTGGATCGCAGTCCAAGTGCTCCTGAACCAAAAAAAATATTTTCAGTGCTGTTTATAAACCACACACAGCTATGCATAGTTGCAGCCAAACGTCCTTTCCATGCTCTCTTGTAGGCACCAACTGCTGAAGAAGCTGCTGAGGAAAGTGAGAGACTTCTTCGAGAGCTCTACCTGTTTGATGTTCTCCGTGCTGATAGGACAACTGCTGCCCATGGGTAATACTCAGCTATCGATCCTTTAATTCCTCTCAGGGAGGAGGGGTAGTTATATTGAAAGGGTACTGATTTGAGAAAAGGCAACAGACAATTTATATAGCCAAGGTTACACTTGAACAATGGCCTTTTCTCATATTTATTTTACTTATTATTTACATTTTTATGCCACCAGACTCCCAGTGACTCTGGACAGCTGACCAAGCATAAAAACAAAATTTGGCAGAACCTGGATAACAAGAAGCATACTGCACTACTCATAAAGGGGCTCCAGTCACTTTTGCCAGAGACCCGGACCAGATCTTCAATGGCCTCTGAAAGACCAGTAGGATGGATGCCACCTGGGTCTCCAGGGAATTTGAGTCTAGAGGACAAGTCCTTGCTCTCAAACATGAGGTTCCGCTGGAGACCCAGGTGGCCTCCACCCTACTGATCTTTCAGAAGGCATTGCCACAGAAAAGGAACACTTCTGGTGCCCCAATAGTTAGCATTGTTAAATCAAAGAAACCTGGAATGTGTCATTTATCATACTAAGCTATAATGCTTTCTTATTATTTTTGGGTGAAGCGTGGCTTATTCCCTAATTATAACTTAATGTTGGAGGCAATAGACAGTGGGTGGTTTTAAATAAATCATGATTTAATCATGAGTTACTTTCTGTTATGCAGGCATGTCCGAAGTCCAGCCCAGGGGCCTATTGCAACCCATTTTCAAATTTTGAGCAGCCCGCAGTCTCTTCTCCCTGCTGAAGTTTTTTGTTTAATCTTTCATAAAATAGTTCATTTGCATTTAATGTTAATGGTTCAAAGAATGTGAGGCTGAATGGTCGGCTCCACACATTTTCACCTCACCAAATCTGGCCCTCCTTGGAAAAAGTTTGGACACCCCTTTGTTAGTGTATAAGTTGTACAAAATGCCTTTTTCAAATCTATATTCTTATTTTGTACACCAATAATACTTGTTTCCGTTTTCAGTCTTGAACTAAGAGTTCCATTTTTGGATCACCAGTTTACTGCTTACTACCTTTCTTTGCCAGCAGAACTCAGAATCCCAAAGGTAATCTAGCCTTTACCACTAGACAAATGAAGAAATTACAATATTACCGAATGAAGCTATAGTCTACATTTAAGTTTTACTGATTATTCTCTGAAGCTTTGTATATGCTTGTGATTTTCAGCCTTAGGTTGTGATCATTAGATGTCTTGCTATAGATGCAATTTTTTTAAATGGATCTCAATTGAACTGACAGATTTAGCATTCAAACCTAAATTCTACGACAGGAAGCCATGCCAAAGACCTTAAAGTTGATGGGTTAGGTCAGTGATGGCTAACCTTTTTGTTGTTGGGTGCCAAAAATGCAAGCATGTGAGCACGATAGCGGGTGTGTGCCGGCACCCGTATTACAAAGCGTGTCCCCGCATCCATACACAACCCCCCCACACACACACACATGCTCCTGCCCCCCCCACACACTGAACTCCAAGCTGTGCTTGGTATTTTCTCCGGGGAGGGGAGGTCTAGGAAGGCTGAAAATCAGCTGGCAGGCGTGCACATGTGTTCTGAAGCTGACGGCTTGCGGTCGGCAGATATGGCTCCACATGCCACCCTTGGCACGCATGCTATACGTTTGCCATCACAGGGTTAGATAATTCTTTAAAATATTCTGCTGAATATGGGATTGTCGTGCTGATTTGTTTCTGAAATATTTTTTAGAATTTCTCACATATTTATTCCTTAGGAAAGTATTTTTATGTGTTCTTGATTATGTTATCTCTGCACAGAATGGGATTGAAAAGCACCTCTTAAGGGAAGCCTTCGAAGATTCTAACTTATTGCCTAAAGAAATACTTTGGAGACCCAAAGAAGCTTTCAGTGATGGCTTAGCGTCTATCAAAAAATCTTGGTTCTCTATGCTACAAGACTATATTGAACTTCAGGTAACAGGTTGAATTTTTAAAGCCAGTTTGATTAAAACGCTATTTAATTCATATAATGGAGCTAGTGTGACTATATTGAAAGTATATCATGAAAAACGTAGAGCAAAAATGTGAAATACATGAAGCCCATCAGCTTTGCATATGCAACTTTCTAGACTGGATGAAGATGACTTTTAATTTCTTTGTTTTGGGGGAAGGATTTGGCTAGCTTGACTTATGAGGCCATGGTAGCACAGTGGTTAGAATGAAGTATTGCAGGCCACTTCTGTTGACTGCTAGCTGCCTGCAATTTGGCAGATCGATTCACGTCAGGTCAGATCTCACCAGAGTCAAGGTTGACTCATCCTTCCAAGGTGGGTAAAATGAGGACCCAAATTGTTGGGGGCAGTATGTTAATTTTGTAAATTGCTTAGAGAGGGCTGTAAAGCAATGTGAAGCGGTATATAAGTCTAAGTGCTATTGCTGGCCGAAATTGGTCATTACACTTCTTTTTAAACATTTTTCTTGCTTTTGGGATGAAAGATATAAGATGCAGTGGTTCAGGATCTGGATCTCAGAAACTTGAGTTGTACCAACATTACCTGTACTTTCACTTAGAATTGTGTTTTTCGGAATACAGAATGGAAACATAAAAAATAATTTAAATTAAATCTTGATTTTAAAAATGAATGTTAGCATTGACAACAAAAATTGAGTTGTTTCTGTAAATTTTAAAAATATTACAAATTCACTTCCTCATGTAGCATGCCTACATACATATGTGTGCATACTTGACCAAGCTTACAAATTTATTCTTTTTTAAAAAAAATAGATGTAAAACTTGGATTAAGGAGGCTCAGATTCAAATATCTATTTGACAATGAGATTCATTGAGTTACTGTAGGTCAGTCATTATCTTTTGATCCAGCTTCCAAACATCATGATTTTGAAGATAAAATGGGACACTCTTCTCCAGATATGACAGCTTGAGCCCCCTGAGAAGAGGTGTAATTTAATTTTTTAAATAGTTCTTTTGCTAGCTTTTCAAATTAAGACATAGGTGTAGCAGCAATTCCAGGATTGTTCTTTATAGGGTAGTACAACAGAATGTTGAAAGGCTGTTAAAATTATTCTTATTCTGTTTTACACTTAAGTAGAGTATTCTTTCTGAAAATCCTCTCTTAAATCTGTCATTTCTTCCCGGTTCCCAAGGCCAGATCTACATTTTTCTACACATTTTCATTTCTATTTTTACTGAGATGTATTTGGATTGTATTTTTAGGTATTTTTGTTTATTTATTTTAAAAGAATTCTGATTTTTCTGCTAGAGAACTTGTAATATAGATGGCCTAATATTATAATAGTATTGATAATAATAGCTGAGAAAAATTGGTCCACTGATTGTTTCACCATCATTTCTTTAACCTTCTCATTCTAAGACAGGGGTGTCAAACACGTGGCATCACATTGTCATCACCTGATGTATCATGACTACCCCCCTTTGCTAAACTGAGGGGTGGGCATGGCCAGTGCGTAATGCCCGCGGACCATGAGTTTGACACTCCTGTTCTAAGAAGATTCAAATTAGTTTCTCAATGGCTCTTAGGCAGAGGTATCTGCAGGGAAAATAAAAAAACTTTACAATGGTAATGCATCATGACACACATCAACATCTATTCTGGACACCTTTGTCCTTATGAGTTCTATACCTTGTTACTAAATTGTTTAGTCCAAGAATTCTGCAGTGTAATTTTTAAAAAATAAAATGGAACAGAGAAATGTTTGCTTGTAACTTTCAAAATAAGGAATAATTTCTGGTGAAATCCTCATATGTTACTCTTTTATATCTGCCCATAGGTTGATGACCTTTTGTTGGAGAAAGCTGAAGAGAAATTTCCATTCAATCCTCCCAAAACAAAAGAAGGATATTTTTACCGTCAGATTTTTGAGAAACACTACCCCGGCCATTCCACTTGGCTCCCGCATTATTGGATGCCAAGGTGGATCAGGGCTACTGATCCATCTGCTCGCACATTGAAACATTACAAATCAGCTACAAAAGAATAGCTTAATATATATTGGAGGAATAATTTCTCCAAAGAGCTTATTAAACAAGATAAATCTTGTTGCTCTAAAGGAACTTAAAAAGCAATGTATGGTTGTTTTTTTTAAAAAAAGTAAATGAATGCAGTAGTTTATTTAGATAAAAGCGAATGTAATTGATTATTCCAACTATGCCAGTAACAGGAATATCTCTTAGCCTTAAACTTCACTATGCAACAACTGATATACTCCAGAATGAAGTTTGGTAAAATGAAAGCTAGGACTGTAAGTCTTTATTCAGATAGCTTAATTGACTCTGACATCAAATGATATTTAAGCAACCTAAGAATTAGGAGAATTAATAGTGGTTTAAATGCACTTTTCTGCAATTAATGAGCTCTAGGTTTTTTTAAGTAATATGTTTGTAGTCTTATAAATAAATAAAATAAAATAATCTTCTGAGTTCAAATGGTAAATACTAGTTATTTTATTGTGGGAAAGGATAATTAACTAGTTTTTTGTAAGTTTAACACTCTTTAACTATTATATACAGCTGTGTATATCTGGGAAATCTGGATTCTTTCAGAGCCTTAGAGTGATTGCCATTTTCAATCTGCATCATCCTGTGATCAGACCTCAACAACTCACCATTCATAGTTTTTTAATCACATTACAAATCATGATGCAGTCAATTGTCATCACTGTTTAAAACTGCAGTAGAGTTTTCATATATCTTTTCTTAAAGGATCCAAATATATAATTTTGTACTCAGCAGAATCCATTTTACACAACTAATGCAATTAAGAATTAAATCTTCCTTTTCAGTAAAGCCTGTAGAATTAATTATTCTAAATGAGAGGGCTGTTGAAAGAAAATTCATGTAGAAAATATATTTTCTAATTCTAATTCAGCAGGAGATTATTTAATAAGTTAAAATAGTCTTAATATATAACATCATATGGCATTAAAAGATTCATGTTCTAAAAAGTTAATACTTGAATAAATACCTGCATTAGTTGATATAAAATTTGTGTTGTTTTTTTTCTATTTAAAACCTATTCTGAAACCACAAGATGGCGCCAGAGAACTTCCTGATGTATTTTAAGAGTAGAATTTATAACCTCAGTAGCTTTTAAGTTGTTTGGACTTCAACTCCCAGAATTCCTCAGCAACATGCAGGAAAGGGGATCTTAAAGTTGCTGAGGTTAAGAAATATTGATCAGGATTAAACAACTGATTGATTTTCAAAAACTAAGTCTGGTGAAATGCCCTGAAGTCACCTGTTTACAATATACTAAATACACTACAAGCGAATTCTGGTGCAGTAATATAAAAAATAACATTGAAACAGTCATCTTAATATTTTTTTACTATACCTTGCCTATATCTTTGAACATCACCAAGAATCATATTCAGTAGAGATGATTAGTGTTTAACAATGGAAAGAGTAGAGTTTAACATATTTTCATTCTTCACCATAATTCTTAATATGGGAAGAAATCAGTTCTCTACGTATATAACTTCCTAAAGAAATTCCTGTCTGCTTTTGAAGATAATTGATTTAGAGACAAAATATGCACAGAGGAAGTGAGGTAGATTTTAAAAAACACCTTATTTTTGAAATCTCAAATATTTGCATGGCACATAATTGAAATAATAAACATGTAATTATAAGGAGACATTTTCTTTAAGCTCTGATTTAGCTTGTTAGAAAAAGTAATTGAAGTAGCAAAGAAACTTGCAAAAATTTGATCTGTAGTACACATTCAAAATAAGTTTAGTTAAAATGGCACTTCAGCAAAGTAATGGGACTAGCAAAATGGGGAATACAATGAATGGCTCAAGCAGACGCGCCATCTCTTCCCCCTCACACTACCACTCCTCTCCCCCTTCAGTCCCCCCTCCTTCTCCCTCCATCCCTCCCTCTCCCCCCCAAATTCTTCTCTCTCTGTCCCTCCCTCCCTGTATGTGCCAGCATTTGTTTTTCCATCATTGGGAGATTATTATTTTTCCATTCTGTGGTGTTCTTCCAAAACTTGCACACACACCTGGTGCAGTTTTGATTGCCTAAAAATAAGCAGATATGTGGTTTGCTGCAATGCCAGCAGATAGTCCTTGATATACAACCATTTGTTTAGCGATCACTAAAAGTTACAACAGCACTGGGGAAAATGGAGTTACGACTATTTTTCAAAGATCGTTACAGCATCCCCATGGTCACATGATCAAAATTCAAATGCTTGGCAATTGGCATGTATTTATGACAGTTGCAGTGCCAGGGGTCATGGGATTATCTTTTGTGACCTGACAAAGTCCATTGGGAAGTCAGATTCACTTAGCAACAGTGTTATTAACAACTGCAGTGGTTCACTTAACAGTAGCAAGAAAAGTTGTAAAATGAGGCGAAACTCACTTAACAACTGTCTTGTTTAACAATAGAAATTTTGGGATCAATTGTAGTGCAAGTTGAGAACTACCTATACATAACTTCTTTTGCAGACTTTCCTGTTAATGATACACAGTGATTTAGTTTAGTTTAGTTTTATTAGTATTTGTAGGCCGCCCTTTTCCCTGAGGGGACTCAGGGCGGCTCACATAAAACNGCTGTGAAGGCTTAATTCAGTGCAAAAGAACTTTTGATATACTGTAACTAATAAAATTAGACAGAAAGCTCTATCTAATTCTATAGCTGTTGTCTTCCAATTCTTAAAATCTTAAGAATTCTTAAATTTATTTCAGTCATAAAATAAAGGATGATATAGCAACAATCATTATGTGCCAGATAAATGCTCTAAAACTTACTGGAAAGTCAATTATTTGAAAAAGGATTCCAGATAGAAAAGAAGACTATCTGAGTTGCTTTAAACTTTTAAATAATTAAGGGGGAAAAGATAACCACAATATCAATAATTCATGTTTTATTAGGTGGCTTGGATTCTAGCTTGGTGGCTGCCATACTTATCAAGCTTACGAAAGAGCAAAAATTTCCCTATCCCTTGCAAACATTTTCTATTGGAATGGAAGATAGCCCTGACGTACTGGCTGCAAGAAAGGTACAGTGATATTATTGGTTTAGCAGGGTTTTTCCCCCCATGTAAACCCTTTTTCTTATGCCAAATGGAAAATAATAGAAGACAAACAAGTTCTTTCTAGAAATTTAGCTTTCATGTTTGCATTTAAGCAAGGTTCTAGGCTCGTAAGAGAGAATAAATATATTTGAACAAAATTTCGCAGATCAGAGCAGGTTTGTTGCAATTTAGTAACATTGATTGGTAAATTCCAAGCAAGCAAAGAGAATACCTTGTCTTGTGCTGTATAATTATTTTTACAGCATTTGCTGGCACAAGTTAGAATATAGAATAACAGAGTTGGAAGGGACCTTGGAGGTCTTCTAGCCCAACTCCCTGCTTAGGCAGGAAACTCTATACCACTTCAGACAAATGGTTACCCAACATCATCTTAAAGACTTCCAGTGTTGGAGCATTCACAACTTCTGGAGGCAAATTGTTCCACTGAGTAATTGTTTTAACTATCAGGAAATTTCTCCTTAGTTGTAAGTTGCTTCTCTCTGATTTGTTTCCACCCATTGCTTCTTGTCTTACCCTTAGGTGCTTTGGAAAATAGCTTGACTCCCTTTTCTTTGTAACAGNTGCACAGTCGTGGGTCGCTCCCGTCGCAAGCCAGCATAGCTAGAAGATGAAACAGGCGACGGAGCCCCCGAAGAATGCCGCCGCCATTGCGACGAAGCACACCCAGATAAAACTTCATTTCTGAAGAAATGCCACCCCTATTTTCTGAATGAATTCTGTAGGTTAACGTTTGTGGAATTTCTCTGTTTAAATCTCATTTGTATGTTACAGTTATGGATATGAAGCCAAGATTCTTATTGTTCATTATTTTAAAACCAATGGCTCTGGAATAGCAACATAGCTTAGATTGTATTCATGTGTTGGATTCCCACATAACAAGTTTTCTTACATCTGAAATAGCACATAAAGCAATAGCAATAGCACTTAGACTTATATATCGCTTTGTGTGTGTGTGTGTGTGTGTGTGTGTGTGTATACAGTGCAAACTTAAAATAATTATGCTCAACTTACACTAAACATTTGTATTGTTTCCAAGACATGGTACAATTCTTGAGGCCTGCAGATATCCATTATGGTCTGTCTGTCTGTCTGTCTGTCTGTGTGTCTGTCTGTGTGTGTGTGTGTGTGTGTTGTAGGTACCTATGCATGATTTCTGTATACTTCCTTATTTTTGTCTGCAGGTGGCAGTAACTGTTCTGGATATTTTGTTTGTCTCATATAATGTATTTTCTAAACTTTCTTTATTGTCAATTTAAAAAAAATAAATTTTCTTAACCAATAGTTTATTCTGGTGAATTAGGTTACAGTGTCAGTGCTGAGAAATCAAAATATAATATTATAAATATTTTATTTTTAAGAGAAAAATGGATAACAATATAGACAAAATGCTAACTTCAAATTGTAATTTCTGCAACCCGATCTTCTGTTTACTGCACCAGTTGCTCATTATGAAAAATAATTTAAATTAAGAAGGTAGGGTAAAGCTTAAAATTAATTGCTTTACTAGCTGCATTTTCTGCATATTACATAGAATTACTTAAAAGGCTAATAAAGAAAAGTAGGGAGTTAGAAAAAGAATGAAAGGAAAGGAAAATTTTATCCTGTTACTTAAATAATGTTTGGACAGCAAAACAAAAAAAGAGCAACTCGTGGTTACTTGTCCCCCCAAAAATTCTAATTTATTTTCTTCTTTGTTTATTTTTAGCCCCCAATCACAAAAGTCTCTGAGTGATAGGCAAACACAATAGAAAATAACTGATGCACCATAAAGTAACATTGGTGCTTATCCATCGGACCAATTTGCTTTATGGCTATAATAACTGATAGCAAAGACATTGGAAATCCCTTAAGTAACAACTGAACCACTATCTTGTAAAATCACTTTGTACTTTGAAAGAAGCAAAGGGCCCCTCCCCCCCACCCCACATCATCAGATGGTGTGACACTGAGGGCAACAAGAAATGGAAGTTTTTAAGAGCCTGCTTTTATCCTATTTTCTCACTCTATTCATGCCCTAGGGAACTGCATTGTTTTGGATCTATTTGTTATGGCTGCATTTTTCTGTGGAAGTGGAAATGAGGAAACAACCCCGCCAAATTAGCCTTTAGAAAGTTTCAAGCCATTTGCAGAGGGCTGTTAAAGAAATGGCAGTGTGCCTTAATTTGATTGTTTTATGTGCACTTATTAACAATGTGTAAATACTGGACCTAGCTGCCCAGCTGCCTCAGAGGTGGTATTCAACAGGTTCTGACCAGTTCTGGAAAACTGGTAGTGAAAATTTTGAGTAGTTCGGAGAACTGGTAAATACCAACTCCCACTACCCACCCCCATCTATCCCCTGCCTCCTGAGTCCCAGCTAATCAGGAGGAAATGGGGATTTTGCAGTAACCTTTCCCTGGAGTTGGGAGGGAATGGAGATTTTACAGCATTCTTCCCCTGCTGCACCCACCAAGCTTTCACCTCATCAAAAGCCTGCCTTGTGTATACCTCTGTAATAAGTTCGAGGCGTGAGGTAAACCAGAACAGGATTTATTTCAACAGTTAAGAACAACGGTAACTTTCAGAACGCGGACAGCGCCAGCCCACCTGACAGTTCTTTATATACCCGAGCTGTCAGGCGGCTGGCCAATAGGTGGCCAGTGATTTTCCTGCCAGCTGGCAGGCGCGCCGGAGCCAATCAGGTATCAGCTGCTCCGGCCCCGCCTGTCGGCTGCGTCGGAAGGACACAACACCCCTTCTCCCCAGACAGCGCATGCGTAATCCTTTAAATATGCAGGCTTCCTGCGCACGTGCTGCCATCTTCCCAGACTGGGAGTGTCCTCCGAGGGAGGAGGAGGTGTCCTGTCT